AATGGACCAAAATTACTACTTGCATACGCGGATGACATTGACATTGTAGGAAATACCGTCACCAATGTAAAAGAAACCTTCAATAAATTAAAAAGAGAGGCAAAAAATACCGGTCTAAGGGTCAATGAAGAGAAAACCAAATATATGTGCATTAACAGACAAAAGAGACGAGATAGAATAGGACAAAATGTAACAATAGACCCCTATAACTTTGAAAGAGTGGAGAGTTTTAAATATCTCGGAGCGACTATCACCACAGATAACGATATCACGGAAGAGATAAAAGGGAGAATTCAGGCAGCAAACATATGTATGTATAGCCTCCACAACGCTATTAAATCCAAGAGCCTAACACGAACATCAAAAATCAGGACATATAAAACAGTAATTAGACCGGTGCTCATGTATGGGTGTGAGACGTGGACGCTGACAAAAGCAATGGGAATTAAACTCAGATGCTTTGAGAGAAAAATCCTCAGAAAGATCTTCGGTCCCTATCACGATCCGAATACTAACCAATACCGAATGAGAACAAATGCCAAGGTCAAATAAATGTATAGTGCTAGCGACGTAGTCCAAGAGATTAAATCCCAACGTCTAAGATGGGCTGGCCATGTTCACAGGCTCCCTAATAACCTCCTTACCAAGTTAATCTGGGAAGAAGTCCCGACAGGGAGAAGGCCCTTAGGACGTCCACGAATGCGATGGAGAGATAATATATGGTCAGATTTGAGAACAATTGGGCTACCCACTGACTTAAACATCATGCACGACCGTTCGAGATGGAAGCAGGTTGTGCTGTCAGCCAATATCCACCCCCGGTTGTAGTGCTACCAGAAGAAGAACTCAGTTTTATTAAAACAATAATGCATAGTGATTTTAGAATAAGCTTCTTCCCATTTTGGTTTAACTGACCTGTTTCGCTCCTAAGGCTTTTATTATGAATTGATCAAGACATCCGGATGTCATTAAAATTTGCATTTTTGTCACCTAAGAAATTAAATTAAAATAACATTAAAAAAAACTAATTTAACCAGTTTAAAAAAGAACAAAAATCAAAATAAAAATACATTGTCTGTGTGTAAATAAGATTATGTTTGATATTTGACATCTTTGTACTAAACTGCTTCATAAAACAACTACGTGTCTTTAAATATTAACCTTATATTTTACAAGTTTTACATATGTAAAAAACTAAGTGAAAGTACGAACGAAATTTGTATAACAAAAAAATTACTAGAACAACTAGTGATATGGAACATGTTTATTCGAATCTAAGCAGGAGAAAAAATATTTGTTTAGAAGGAGAATATGAATCTTTTAGAAACAGATTATAATTTACAACACTGAGTGACATTTCTTGAGGTATCATGTTTTTGCGCATCCGTTACTTCAAAGCCCCGTCCCACGTTCAGTCTTCATTTCTGTCTATCGGCATAGTGTCCTGTTCGTCGATTTCCCTCCGACATTGGCTTTCGGACTCTATCAATCAATGTTGTTGGTCTTTCTCGTTTTTTCCCCTCAGGTGGTTGCCGGTTTAAATATTAATCTCGGTAGGTGATAGTCTGTCATTCCCTGTACATGTCGTACCAAATAATCTCTTTTTGCTGCATTTCTTCTATGATAGTGTTTGTTCTATCCATGGTTTGACTTATTCTTTAATTTGCTACGTGCAAAAAAACCATTTCCATAACAAGAAGTTTCTGTTCCGTTCTCTTAGTAAGAAGGTGAAGTGTGTATGTAGAATCTGTTTTTCTATTATTGAAAGCCCTTTTATGTTCTGCTATTCGTTTATTAAAGTTTCTACCAGTTTGACCGATGTAAGTTTTTGGGCAGTCGCCACATTTAAGTTTTACACACCACTGTGTAAGTGTTTTTTATTTTGGCTCTTGCTGTTTTTATATTATATATTTGCCTAGGTTGTTATTTGTTCGGAAAGCTGGTGTTATTCCTTTCTTTTTTATTTTTTTTGTGCGTTTCGCTATTTTTGTTGATATTTTGCCTGTTTATGTAATCGAGCAGAAGGTACTGGGTTTTTTCTCTGGTGGTGGAACTACTAATTTCAGGGCTTTCTTGTATAGTTTTTGATTTAACATTTTGTTAATTGTTTGTTCGTTGTATCCGTTGTTTACTACTATTTGCTTAATGATATTTAATTCTGTCTCAAAGTTGTATTTTGACATCGGAATTTCTGTTAATCTATGTAACATACTATGATAGGCTGCCAGTTTATGTTGTGTTGGATAGGATGATAAATTGTGTATAGTCGTGGCAGAATGGATAGGTTTATGAAATATGGAGAAGTCATGTTTGTTTTTAAGTCTGATAATTTTTAAATCTAAAAATTTATGGATTGATTTTGTTCTGTTTCTATTGTAAATTCAATATGACTATGAAGTGAATTAATATACGATAAAAATTGATCGAGTTGCCTGTTAATTCCTATGAAACATACCAGTACATCGTCTACGTATCTTCACCAATATAAAAACTGTTTAAATACGGGATGATTTGAAATCTTTGTCTCTAGGTGATCCATAAAAATATCTGATAGCAATGGGCCCCCTACAGAAAGTTTTGTTCTAGTAAAAAACCTTTTAGACCAAAATAGTACAAATCCAATAGTTACATCTGAAATTTTACATCTTCTTGAAGTTTGCATAAACCAGGACTACTTTGAATTGAATAATAAAATATATACAAATAACAGTACAGGACTTATAATGGGCAATCCTCTAAGCCAATTGCTATCAGATATTTGACCAACTTGAGACAAACAGTTCTCCTCTCCTCAACCTATTTCATTAGAGACTATAAAAAAGCATGTAAAAGCATGCCAAAAATAGATCACTTCAGAAAGGCAATCAGCCGAAACAGCTGTAGTGATAAGAGGTTAAAATAAATTTAGTGGAAGTTTGAAAACAAAGTTTTCAGTATTTTATTGTTACATATTACTAAAAAGTTTTTAAAAACTCAGATAGGACATGTATCTTAAAATTATTATGTTTAATCCCACCTCGACTTTACTCTCCATAGTTGTGAGGCTGTAAGAACAAGAACTAAGTAAACCAACAGAGACAAGAAAATTTTACCAGAAACTCAACAAAAGCAGAAAAGAGTTCAAACCGAGAACAACGATGTGTAAAGATAAGGAGGGTAATATATTGACAGAACAGCAAGAGATACTTAGAAGATGGACAGAACATTTTAAGGAAAAGCTTGGGGTGAATAGGACGGAGATGAACCCTGTTATACCGTTAGACCAAGCAGACAACAGAGAAAAGAGTCCACCAACAATAGCAGAGATTAGAACAGCAGTGGACAAATTAAAGAACAATAAATCACCGGGATCGGATCAAATATCATCGGAGCTACTGAAAGAAGGAGGAGCATACATGAGCTGATAAGAAAGATATGGTTGAATAAACAGCTACCAAAGGAGTGGAATAGCGGCATTATTGTACCACTACATAAAAAAGGAAACCAGGTAGAATGTGAAAACTACTGTGGAATCACGCTGTTGAATGCGGCATACAAAATAATGTCCAACGTAATGTATGAAAGACTTAGATCATACGCTGAAAAAATAGTTGGCAAATACCAATGTGGCTTCTGTAGACAGAAGTCAACAATAGACCAGATATTTGTTCTGCGACAGATCCTTGAAAAAACAAGTGAATATAACATCGACACACATCATCTCTTCATAGACTTCGAAAGCGCATATGACAATATAAACCGAGAATTCCTAACAAAAGCAATGAAAGAATTTAATATACCAACACAGCTAATAGAATTGATAAAAGAAACACTAAAAGTAGAAAGTAAAATCCGGATACAAAACGAATTAACGGAAACAACAGATGTGAAGAAGGGACTACGCCAGGGAGACGCTCTATCATGCATATTATTCAACATCATACTTGAAAAAATAATAAGAGACACAACAGTTAATACCCGAGGAACAATAATTAATAAAAGCGTGCAAGTACTAGCATTTGGAGATGATGTTGACATAATCGCAAGATCAAGAAGAGAAATGATAGAGGCATTCACTCAAATAGAACGAGCTGCAAAAAATAGTGGTCTTAAAATCAATCAGACAAAAACAAAATATATGCCTGCAAATAAAAACGCACAAATAAGGCAGCTGCCAAATTTAACAATAGGAGAATACAACATTGAGGCGGTAAAAAACTTTACATACTTAGGATCCCTAGTTACGTCTGATAACAACGTTGCAGAGGAAGTGAAGAGGAGAATATTTATTGCCAATAAATGTTACCATGGCTTAATTAGGCAACTAAGATCAGATACCGTCTCCAGAAAAACAAAATGCCAAATATACAAAACCTTAATAAGACCGGTACTCACATACGGTTCAGAAACCTGGACACTCTCTAAAAGGGAGGAAACGTTATTAGCCACCTTTGAAAGAAAAATCTTGCGACACATATATAAGGGCACAAAAGAAAACGGGATTTGGCGGACAAGGTATAACTTTGAACTATACAACCTATACCAGGATCCGGATATCATAACATTCATTAAAATAGGAAGGCTACGTTGGATTGGACATGTGGAAAGAATGGAAGAAGGCGAAATACCAAACAAAATATTCAAACAAGTGCCAGTAGGAAAAAGAACAAGAGGAAGACCGAAGCTGAGATACGTAGAACAAATAGAAAATGATATAACAACATTAAAAATTAAAAACTGGAAAAAAAAAAGCACGAAACAGGTCAGAATGGAGAAGAATCCTTGAACAGGCCAAGACCCAAAAAGGGTTGTCGAGCCAGTGATGATGATGATGATGATGAGTTGTGAGGCTGTGGCTGAAGAGAATTCCTGGAACTCACTTATCTGTCGATGCTTAAAGATAACATATCGTACCTATTTTATACCACAGAAATTTGACCTAATCAACTAACTTTCTTATCATATTCGTTTTTTTTAACTCAAAATCAAAAGGAAAACCTTAAAAAAAGTTATGTAGGACAATGACATTCTAGAACACTTGAATAGCACATTTACATTCCTGTTATCGTGACCTATAATTATTTATTGAAATGTATTTGGTTGTGCCATCTATTTCCGCGAGTCCAAACTTATCCCTTCATAAATACGGAATTTTCATTTTTCTTTCGTACTTTCCTTTAGTTTCCAGCCAGCGGCGTTACTCTCTAAACTATACACAGTGTATTATCTTTACAAACTGATATTTGAGCTTCCTGCATTATTCGTAGTCTAGGCCCTAAAGGCAATCCCATCTTTTGAAGTCGCTCTTCACTTAAATATGGAAGTTCAACCATTCCTATTCTCTCCGTTTCAAATATCGTTGCATATTTCTGAAAAGAAAACAATCTTTTAATTAAATATAACAGAAAGTTCGTCTACTCTAAAATAAAAGCAGGAAAATGAAAGATAAAATCCCTAGAAAAAAAAATTCGAATAAAATGCAAGAAAAATATTAACGAAAACCTATTTCCTTGCACTATTGGCATTTAAAACTAAAGTGATAGATAAACAGGATATTCCTTAAAACGAAATACATATTTGTATCTGTGAAGATGTGAACTGATGGTTACATCCAAAAAAATATTTAGCTAAGACTAGAGTTTGGTTTTTTTTTATATTCATAACTAATTATTCAAAACAGCAGTTAATAAAATTACAATCGCCATAATGATATCCAATGTCCGATAGGAGAGGCACTTAAAGAAGAAGAGAGAGTTTGGTTAATTGTTTACACTATAGCCTTAGCTAAACATTCTTGGAAAAATAAACATTTCTTCGATTTTGAAAATATATCGATTTTAGATGGATCTTCAAATTACAATAAAACCAATAAAATCTGTATAATGAAGATGATACATATTATATATCGAATATAAACCTCAAATAATAATATATTACTTAATGAGGCGGAGAAGCATGACTTTTCTTGACGCGCCCGATATTACGCGCCGCACGAAGTGAGGCGCGTAATAGAGGGCAAGTCAAGAAAAGTCGCTTCTTTGCCGAATAAAGTATACTATTTTTTCTTCAAACGTAGCAATTTTCAACCATAAATAGTACAATTCCTACGCTATTTTTACTCGAAATTAACTGACAACTATCAAAGTCGTCTAGATGTTAGAAATTAAAATAATTAAGTCGTAGGTGGGATTTGCGTCTCCCTGGTTACAGTTGTTTGACAGTTGTTTGCAATTATTAAAGACAGCTTAGTCTTGTTGCAACCGCAAGCGCAAATTTAGTGCGAAAATGGAAAACCTAAACGAAATTGAGTCCGTGGCTAATGCAGTAGCACGTTTGGGGCCCTTCAAGTCCGGAATAAAGTATCGGTTAGCGTACAAGCACTTCCAAGAGTGGTGCGATACAAGAGGAGTACGGCAAGTTAACGAAGACGTTTTACTGGCATATTTTAATATAATGGAAAATAAAAATAAATGGAAATCTTCTACAATGTGGTCACGATACTCTATGATAAAATCCGAGTTAGTTATTAGAAAAAATGTGGATATAAGCAAATTTTTTAAGTTACGTGCCTTTCTGAAAAAAACAAGCGAAGGATATACTGCAAAGAAGTCTAAAGTTTTCACTAAAGACGACTTTGATAAATTTTTGTTTGTAGCGCCAGATAAGTTGTATTTAGGATTAAAGGTAAAAAAAATTATATTGCAAAGCATGTAGTATACTCTACTAAATTATAAAAATATTTCAGATTGTTTTCTTAATTGGGGTTACCGGCGCCTGTCGATGCGACGAAATGGTAAAAATGAAGACTGTGGGCATTAAGGATAAAGAAAATGTAATAAGTATCAAAATCCCAGACAGTAAAATAGGACAAATTAGATCTTTTACGATAATTGGTCAAAACTACATTAAACTGTATAAACAGTATGCATCACTGCGGCCTGAAAATTTCACAGAAAACCGATTTTTTATCAAGTACCAAAATGGAAAGTGTTACCGAAGCGTCATGGGAATACATTCGATCAGCGTAGTAGCCCAAAAAGTAGCTAGTTATTTAAATTTAAACGATGTAAGCGCATACACGGGTCACTCTTTACGACGAACTTCAGCAACACTTTTAATTGATGGAGGCGGAAATCTAGAATGCCTCAAACGACATGGGGGATGGAAATCAAGCACGGTTGCCGAAGGATATATAGAGAATTCAATAAGAAATAAGAGCGATAATGCTCAAAAAATTTTAAACCCTCTTGATTCGCCAACATCGGGAATGATTGCTGAAAGTTGTTCTCGACCATCAGTATCATCAACAATTACCAATGCGTATCAAGAGTCAAGAACATTTTTGCACGGTTTCAATTTTGAAAATGCCTCATTAACTAATTGTACTTTTTAATATTACTATAAATAAAAATGCTGTTTAATTGTTGTTAATGACATTTGTATTGTGGCTTTGTGACATGTTTCATATTGTTGCCATGACAACATTTTTCCCTCCACCGTAAAGAAATGGAAAAAAAGCTGCTGCCGGCGGAGACATCAAACTTTGACAGGATCAAGTTAGATAAGTAATGTCATCATTATTTGACGTTTGAAGAAAAAATATTTTACTGTATTTCCATTAGAGTCATAATTCTGTCTTACCTCGTATCCTAATTTTTTTAAAAATAATCTTAACAATGGCGGCTCATCTCCAAAAAACTTCGTCAGCTTTTTAACTCTCGTCGGGTTTGCTAAAACCGGCAAATCCTTTGAACTGACAGCTCGCGCAGCGTTCTGCGCTCGGACATTTAGCATATTTGTTTGCGTCCTTAGGGCAGCGATTTCACTTCGAATGCTTTCCATTTCTTGAATCATTAGGTGCTGTGTGCGCATCTCCGAAGATAGATGGGCTACAGAGCGGGCTAGAGTCACAACGTGTGATTCCAGTCTTTGGAACCTGCAATGTAATGCGTTTCAAATTTTATTGTTCAATATGCATATTATATATAATAAATAATAAAATGATTTGAATTGCATTTCGCGATATTCCCAAACAAAAACGTTAAAGGAATGATACGAACCTTTTGTTTATGCCTCGAATATCTCTGACTTTCTTTCTATCCTCATTAGCTCTTCTTTTGTCTCTAATAGGTCGACTACTAACAGAACTTGACGGCAACGACGACATGCTCCCATATCTTCTTTTTGTAAATCGTGGATCATTGGGCTGATATTTTGCTGGATGCTTTTTGACACCTAGCAGTTTTAAAACTTCTGAGTACATAGTTTCTAAGCCTTCAAGTTGTTTTCTTATTGCCCTAGCATCGGTCGTGCTTAGATCCTCGTCGGAGTCACTTTGGCCGTCTAATATCGACTCTAAATCCATAGATCTTGTTGTTGTAGACGTCATATCTGTGTTGTCCAAGCCAAAAACTGTAAAAATTCATTAATACACATATTATTAATTAAAAATTTCAACAGGTTGTGAAATGATTTAACCAATTATTAATAAACACAGCAATTGTCAATTACGGTGAACTTTAGTAGCATTTAAAAATACCCAATTTTACGGAATCGCTTAAATAAATCGTGATAGCAATAATGTGCATAAGTTTGTCCGAATACCCGGTAATACTAATAATTGATGCTTCAAAAGTTTCACTGATTTAAGGAGGTAATTCAAGGTGAAAATACGCCATTTCGCGCATCTCACAAAACTTCACAATAAATGGAGTCCTCTATAGGGTAGTTAGGGATAAAAACATGCACAAGGCAAAAGAACGCACCTTATTTAAATTTTCCACTAATGTCCAGTTTGAACCGATTTTAGTTACAAACATTTGGCAACAGTGTGCCATATATATTGGTCTCAGCTCAATGCTGAGTCAAGGCGTTATTTACAAACTATGAGGTAAAATCAAACTGGTATTTTTCGTTGAATTAGTTTATTCAGGTCTTTTCTTGGCTTGATTGTGGGATATTATATTAAGACTAATAGAACGGATGAATCTTCTTCTAATCAAAGACAAGCCCACTGCCTGCGACATGGCTGTTACATGAACACTCTCACGTTTATCAAGTAGCTGGAGCATTTTAAAAAACATACAAGTCCAACGAAGGAGAACTCCGTTTTTCTGATTCTAGATAATCATGTATCGCACACAAGTCTTCAAGCAGTAACATTTGTAAAAGATAATTTCATCCATTTATTTTGTTTTTGTTCACCAGATAGCAGCCATAAGACCCAGCTACTAGATCGGGCATTTTTCAAACCATTAAAAGCTTATTATAAGAGCATCGTTGACAGCTGAACCAGTTCCCATCTAGGACAGGTTCTCTTCATTTACCATGTGGCTGGTCTCTTTCCCACAGCATTTACAAAAACTGCTGCTGTAGATATAGCAAGAGAGGACTTTTGACCTACAGGAATCTACCCACTAGATAAACGGACGTAGATTTTATGCGATAGAGTCATCATCAAAATCGGAAGTCAGAATTTCTGTACCTGGTACTTCAAATATTGAAAAAGAAACTGTTACTGACACGAAAGAGCCCCAGCCGTCATCAAAATCATAACAATAAGTAATTTCACCTTCAGACATTATTCCCTTCTCAAAAATTAAGATAAAAAGGAAACGAACCAGGAAAATTTTGAAGTCAACCCTACTAACATCGACACCTGATAAGGAGCGACTTTTAGAAGAACAAGAAGAAAAGAAAAAAGCAGAAAAAAATAAGGAGGGGAAAGCATTACTGAAGAATCAAAAGATCAAATTTCAAAGTGCTAAAGTTCGTTCTGCCAAAAGGAAAGTTTTCGACGACTCATCATCCGATGAATCAGTAGCACTCTCCTGTCAAAAAGTATTGAGTCTTGTGACATTCATTTTTCAGATAACGATGAAGAGCAAGACATTGATATTATAGCAAATATTTTACTTGATTTTTTCGTAGTGAAGGTTTTTGAAAAAAATCATACATATTATTTGTCGCCAAAGTCTTCCAATTAAATGATGATGGTTATGAAGGCGAATGTTTTAAGCAACTCCCCACAACATTTCGTTTTCATGAGACAACAGAATATGCCTTTTTTCGGAAGGACGATATTATCTTAAAGCTTTTAAAGCCAATAAAAATCAGTTCTTTCAGACTTATACTTCTTATAAGAGTGAACTATAACCAAGCACTGAGTAACCACTTAACATTAGAACAGTTTTTATTATTACAATTTGAAGATACTTACTTTGTTTTCCTCGTAATATTGCATTATGATCCAATTTCTTGTGAGATCTATGTTTTTGAGGAGAGCTGTTATTCCATCTTGAATCACTTGGGATATTCCTTAAGTGGTTTTTGCCCTTGTAACTTTCATATTCAGGTCTACTCCCACAAGGTAAACTACAAAACGGTGTATGTCAAATAAAATAACTGATAAAAATGAACTATGTTCTCTGTTCATACACTAATCACCAAATATCATCGTAAACGTATAAGCATATCATAATTTCCCTAAACAAGCTCTACAAAGATCTACAAATTTTGCGATCTGAATTAATGAGAGATTAAATGAAATCGTAGGCTTCCACGGCCAGAGTCAGAATTATAGTTTATTCGTCTTCCGGGTTTGGACCGTGTCATTTGTGAGTGACCCAAAAGTGGGTTCATCTCGACGTTTCGCTACAATTATATGTAGCTTCTTCAGGAGAAACAAAGAAAAAGAAAAAAGAAAACAAAAGAACAGGAAGATGGGTAGTTAGCAACGGTAACTCAGTTACTCAACGCAACCAGAGGCGAATACTAACTACCAAGATGGGCATTTGGTCACAGTAACTCAACTACTCAACGCAGCCAGAGGTGAAAACCAAATGCCAGGACAGGGATTCACGTCCAACAGCTCAGAACACTAACGCGTCGAGAGGCGGGGAGTGAATCCGACGATTACTCCGCTACCGCTCTATTTATAGTCGCGGTGCCTGTCGTGTCGGGACGTATCGGCACACTTCGTGGCGCGAACGTCAAGAAGCGCGCGCTGGCCAATCATGTGGTGGCGGGACCGGATGGTGGCTCTAGACTGAGATTCCAGATGGGAGACAAGTAGTATCCTTCCTCTCGATTGATATTATGGGGATTTTTTCGGATCTCTAGAGATTCGCGGATTTTCCTGGAATAAAAGAAGGGGCTCTTAGAAATAATATGGGTTTTTTCGAACAATATGGAATGACCGGTTTCTTGGCAGTGTTCGGCAACTGCAGAATGGGAGAAAAGACCTGATCGAATGCATCTTTGATGCTCTTGAATCCGAGTTTTGACGGAACGACCAGTTTCGCCAATATACACATGTCCACATGAACAAGGAATAGAATAGACACCACAGGAAGATAGGGGCGGTAATGGGTCCTTAGGAGAGGGTAGATATTGTGAGATTTTCTTGGGTGGTCGAAAAGTAGTCCTGATACCTTCTTTGCGAAGAATTTTGCCAATCCTATCAGTGACATTTCGAATATACGGAAGAAAAGCCACAGGAGTATTGCCCGAAGATTCTGAATTTGTTGTCCTAGGGTGTAAAGGGGGATGTAGATGTCGGTGTGTAATATTTTGAATTGTGGACTTGGAGTAACCATTGGCGACAAGGGTTTTTTGCAGATGGCCAAGTTCTTCTCTAAGGTTGTCGGGTTCAGAAATCGAAATGGCCCGATGGATGAGAGAGTTGATCACAGAATTCTTTTGGGCAGGATGGTGGTGTGATGAAGCATGTAGGTAACGATTCGTGTGAGTCTTTTTTCTATAAACAGAGTGACCCAATCGGCCATTGGGCTTGGAGGTGACTAACACATCGAGAAAGGGAAGGGACCGATTATTTTCTACTTCCATTGTGAATTTTATACTCGGATGTTGTACGAAGAGGTACGTTATCTTTATGGATTTTCGGAAGACCATAAATTCTGGGGCAGATGGAGTTTTTTGGAACTATCCGATGATGTTAAGAAGTCCATAGTTCCAAAAAACTCCATCTGCCCCAGAATTTATGGTCTTCCGAAAATCCATAAAGATAACGTACCTCTTCGTCCCATTGTGACTACGATTAACTCTCCTACCTACAAACTCGCAAAGTACTTGTCCAATCAGTTTAAGACCTATACTGGTCGTACCTCTTCTTATGTCCGAAATTCCACACATTTCATCACCTTAATCTCCTCTCTCACAGTCGATCCCCAAGATATTCTCGTCAGTTTCGATGTATCATCCCTATTTACCAATATTCCCATACATGACTCTCTAGTTGTTCTGCGAGATCACTTGACCAATGATAACAAGTCTTTGGTTTTGGCAGATCTTGCCGAAAAATGCCTCCTTTCAACATATTTTTCTTTTAGAGGCAATTTCTACAAACAAATATCTGGAACACCAATGGGTTCTCCCCTTTCCCCTGTCATTGCTGACATTTTCATGGAAGCCTTTGAGTCTTTAGCCCTAGAATCTTACCCCTTAAAACCAAAAGTCTGGTTCCGCTACGTTGATGATACATTTATCATCTGGCCCCATGGTCAGCATACCCTTTCTTCCTTCCTAGATCATCTTAACTCACAACATCCGAGTATAAAATTCACAATGGAAGTAGAAAATAATCGGTCCCTTCCCTTTCTCGATGTGTTAGTCACCTCCAAGCCCAATGGCCGATTGGGTCACTCTGTTTATAGAAAAAAGACTCACACGAATCGTTACCTACATGCTTCATCACACCACCATCCTGCCCAAAAGAATTCTGTGATCAACTCTCTCATCCATCGGGCCATTTCGATTTCTGAACCCGACAACCTTAGAGAAGAACTTGGCCATCTGCAAAAAGCCCTTGTCGCCAATGGTTACTCCAAGTCCACAATTCAAAATATTACACACCGACATCTACATCCCCCTTTACACCCTAGGACAACAAATTCAGAATCTTCGGGCAATACTCCTGTGGCTTTTCTTCCGTATATTCGAAATGTCACTGATAGGATTGGCAAAATTCTTCGCAAAGAAGGTATCAGGACTACTTTTCGACCACCCAAGAAAATCTCACAATATCTACCCTCTCCTAAGGACCCATTACCGCCCCTATCTTCCTGTGGTGTCTATTCTATTCCTTGTTCATGTGGACATGTGTATATTGGCGAAACTGGTCGTTCCGTCAAAACTCGGATTCAAGAGCATCAAAGATGCATTCGATCAGGTCTTTTCTCCCATTCTGCAGTTGCCGAACACTGCCAAGAAACCGGTCATTCCATATTGTTCGAAAAAACCCATATTATTTCTAAGAGCCCCTTCTTTTATTCCAGGAAAATCCGCGAATCTCTAGAGATCCGAAAAAATCCCCATAATATCAATCGAGAGGAAGGATACTACTTGTCTCCCATCTGGAATCTCAGTCTAGAGCCACCATCCGGTCCCGCCACCACATGATTGGCCAGCGCGCGCTTCTTGACGTTCGCGCCACGAAGTGTGCCGATACGTCCCGACACGACAGGCACCGCGACTATAAATAGAGCGGTAGCGGAGTAATCGTCGGATTCACTCCCCGCCTCTCGACGCGTTAGTGTTCTGAGCTGTTGGACGTGAATCCCTGTCCTGGCATTTGGTTTTCACCTCTGGCTGCGTTGAGTAGTTGAGTTACTGTGACCAAATGCCCATCTTGGTAGTTAGTATTCGCCTCTGGTTGCGTTGAGTAACTGAGTTACCGTTGCTAACTACCCATCTTCCTGTTCTTTTGTTTTCTTTTTTCTTTTTCTTTGTTTCTCCTGAAGAAGCTACATATAATTGTAGCGAAACGTCGAGATGAACCCACTTTTGGGTCACTCACAAATGACACGGTCCAAACCCGGAAGACGAATAAACTATAATAATGAGAGATTACTTTCCACCCCCTCTTAAACAGTACGGTAATGGTTAGTCGCAATGATCATTATATTTAAAAAACATTTTAAAGACAATGAAATGTCTTTAGAAGGTACTTAATAAGAAAACTAGTGATAAACACGAAGTGTCATTTTGACATAGTCAAAACTGGAAATCCCAGTATGTCATTGTTTTCCACCATACTGCTGACCTAACCCTCTTATCTATGCTGTTGACTTTGTTTAATAAATTCTAATAATTGTGGACAGATAAGTGACTTAATTTAATGCTTCTACGTTCTGTGAGTAGAATAAAATAATAATTCGTGAATACTTCTATACATATGCAAAGCTCTATAGGACTGATTTTATTTGGAATTTATACAGCTAAATTTGTTGCTAAAATTCTACATTATTACCTGCTATGTTTGTATCTTGCTGAGTTTCTTGGTGTAGTATTTGGCGACGATTGTTCGCCAGGCGATAAGGGAGGCAATGGTGGTGTCATGGATGATACACTTTCGCTCAGCATCGAATGTGGTTTACCAGGATTATTTTGAATAGATAATTCATGTAGTTTAGGTTCGAGAATATGTCTGAGTTCATTTTCTACTATATCCACCCATTCAGAATCATGGCCTAAAACAAAAAAAAAACATTTATAAGGATTATACTTCTTTATACCTGCAGATCACCAACAGAAGTGTGGTTCACAAACAAATAGACTATATATGTATAAATAAAAGATAAATAAATTCAGTATTAGCAGTCAAAATATATTCAAGTGTAGATATACAAACAGATCACAATATTATGGTAAGAAAAATCCGACTGAGATTAAAAAGTGTTACAAGGACTTATAAACAAATAGTTACTATTCATAGAGAAACCATGTAAAATAATATCTTAAAACAAAAAATAAGCAGAGTATTAGAACAAAAAATAAAGTTGACATTAAGCAAAGATGAAAGTACTGAGAAAAACTGGATAAGAATATTTTAAAAACAGAAGATGACAGAAGAAATACTGAAATTCATGGAAGAGAAATCGGAAATAAAGATATAAGTGAATACAAGAGGATCCACACAATAATCAGGCAGAAGATAAGACATGCGAAAACACAATTACGTAGTAAAGGATTTAATGAAATTGAACACTATGAAAAGGAACACGATATATTTCATCTGCACAAGAAATTAAAAGAGATCACCGGAATCAAATTGCGGAGAAGACCTTCAAAATATAATGAGCAAAAAACAAAACAAACAAGTGATCAGTATGGATTAGAACATTAAAACTTAATGTTAAGAAAACTAAATATATGATAGTTAGCAAACAAAAATATATACAGGATAATAATAATATTACTAATAATGTTTCTCGGTATTAAGTAAGGAGGATGTGGACTTATAGATATAAGTGAGCAACTAGTAAAACAGATTACTAATTTAAGAATTTATTTTCAGGTTCAGGCTGAGTCATCTACTCTACATCGAGCGATTTGTGCAGTAGATGATACAACATCGATCAAACTGGGGGGAACCAAAAATGCACATAAAGCATCTTAATAAGGACGAAAAAATGCACACCTGGATGGGTAAACCTCTGCCCAAGCGACATCCCAATGAGGTCAGTGAAGACCATGTCGACAATATAGCGTTGAACTATTGGCTGATATCAGGAAAGATGTTCCCTGAAACAGAAGGTTCACTACTAGCCATTCAGGATCAGGTTATACCAACCAAAATTACCTGAAATTATTCGTCAAACACCCTTAGGTCCAAAATGAAAAATGCCAATATGGATTTCAAGCTCAGGAAACCATCCAACATCTTACCGGGGCTGTTAGGCATTTGCTGCAACTGAATATAAGAAACGGCACGACTCAGTAGGAAAGATCCTTCATCAAGAGATAGCTATCAAACTGGGACTTCTTCAAACAAACAGTAGCATATAGTAGACCAGATCTCATACTAGTTAATAAACTAAAGAGACAAACAACAATAATTGATGTGGCGATACCCAACAACAATCTTGTAACAGAAACAGAAAAATCAGTAAAGTACAGGGATCTGGAAATTCAAATACAAAGACAGTGGAAAATGGAAAGTATTTAGACAGTATCTATTATTCTCTCTACTACTAAAAAGCCCGAGCCACTTTTGTAAAGATAAGGAACGTACTCTGCAGACACGATCTTAATATTGACCTTTGCGTTCGAATGACATATTGCTATATTTTTCGACTAGAAGAGTGGACATTTGATGAGGTCCTGGACCTTGGAAGCTTTTGAGATGATTGCTACGAATAATCTGGGTTGGCAGAATTAAAAATAAGGATGTCTTTAGACGCCTCAACCAACTGGTCAATATAACAAAGAGACGCAAGCCGCATACTTACTTATTCCTGGAATATACTTATTAATATTAATTCCAGATGGTAGATTAGAAGTTAGAATAAAAGACTGAACGAAAAAAATCTGATTATTGTAATAATTTTGTGTAAAAAAATATGTACAACAATATTAACTTACCGGTATCGTGGCTCTCCCTATACTTTGCTCTACTACTTATAGGTACAGAGTCAAAGTGATCACTATTTGAATCTAATGGTCCTGGTCTACGGCCACTGCTGTAGGCGGCACTACCTCTACCAGAATCAATGTTCGATGAAGACTGACCACCTGTTTTATCGTAATCCGATGAAGTGGCAGAACTAGGGTTGTTTTTCTTTCCAATTTTATTTTCTTCTTCCGTTTTTACTGATCTTTGTCCTACGTTATACACACCTTCAATTTTACCTATCCACAAAAATTAATTTTAAAACATACTTACATAATAAATTTACATAAAAGAATCGATAGATGCTAGGTTTTATTTCGATACAAGAAAAATACAAATAGTTATCACTACCAGCTGTTTAAAGAACTCACCAATTTCACCTTCTAACCTCTTTCTTGGACTTCCTTGAAGTCCATCGTTCAGTTTTTGGTCCTCATCTTTCTTATGTTCGTTAATTATTTCACTCCTAGCGTTTTTATCACTTCCCGGAGGATCTAGCCGCCTTTCCTGCGAACCTTTTCGTTTGAGAAACCCACCATCGTCGCTGTCTTTTTCTTCATGCTTCGTTTGTGCCTCTACGATATTTCCATAAGATCCTCGTCGCATCGGCGTCGGAATCTGCGGTTGAGGCTTACGATTTGGTAGTTCTTCTTGAACCTCGTCATCGTAGGCTAGTTGTGGTTGAGAAGCTGCTCTTCTCGTTTCGAAACTTCTTTGGCGAAGACTATCACGTTCTAGTTGTTGAGCACTACGTTTTTCAGGGGAACTCTAAAAGAAAGGAGATTATATTTCAGATAAACGATTGTTATCGCGATATCTTTAATGTATATACAGAGTGGTCCAAAAGTCTGGAAACGGTCAATTATCTCGTAAATTGCTAGTTATAATTGTACAAAATTTAAGACACACCTATTTTGGGATATGGAGATTCCATATTTAACATTTGCAATGTTGCCAGATTTGCCGTTTCTCTTATATTATTAGTAACTTTGGTTTTTCAAATTCATCACCCTGTATATTCAGTCATTATTCGAATCTCCTATTCAATACGAGTTCCACCATATGTAACACTTATAATTTTATGTAGTTTGGAAGATCTTAAATACATATAACATAAAGTCTGGCAACGCCTAATGGTCTCAATAAATTTTTTAATACTAACTATTTTTAACTACATTAAAATGTAACAATTATTAGATTACAACATTTTTTAACATAATGGTTACTTTATCAAGTGTTCAAAATGTGCTCCATGTGAGTTGACAGTACCTAATATGAACGTATGACAGTACCTAATACCCTAATCGATGGTAAAATGCGTCTACTACATTTTTCCATGATTGTCTTATTCGAGATTCATCGATATTTCGTTGTCTTAGTTTTGCCAGACTTGCTGGTTTAGTTTTGTAAACTGAATTGTTCAAGTATCCCCAATAAAAACAATACTTGGGATTGAAATCAGGTGAACGAGTAGGCCATTCAATTCTACCCCGTCTACCAATCCATCGTCAGGGAAATACCTATACTAAATAATACCAAATATTTACACCAAATTTTGTAAAATTATGACAAGCAATTTACAATTTACGAATTACGAATTTACTAGATAGATACCGATCAGTTAGACCGAAAAGAGTTATGAATGACAACAAAACTAGATAGATCTAGTTAGTTAAATTAAACTGATTGTGAGTAAGTCTTATTTATTTCTTTTTTTACCTGTTTGAAATAGACACAGGAAACACATTCATGAATTAACATATTGTTTGTTTAATTTGCTTAATTTCGCTTTTAATACGAAGTATCCATGTTCGTAATATTCGTACCTGAACATGCGATTGCATAGGAACATAGTTTCCTTCCCTTCCAGGAACAGGTACTTGTCGTCTTTGGGGGGTGGCCACATAATTACTTTGGTAATAAAGTTGCTCTTCAGCTTGTTGTTGATTGAGCATTTCCTGAGATCTGGCTTGAGCCATGTGTTGAGAGTATTGCTGATTTTTTAACTGCTGTTGGTACTGCTGTTGGGCGTGTTGCGCTAACATTTGCTGTTGCATGTAGTTCTGGCTGTATTGTGGAGGCAGTACGGGAGGTTTAGAGTATCCTAAAAGCCAACATAATAATCACTATTTTTTTTTATCAAAAGAACTCACCCTTTACTGTTTAACATGATTACGGATGAAATGATAAAAAAGTAAGAACCTCAAAATCTAAAAAAGGATAACAAAAGGGAGAAAAACAACTTAAAGTAATATGGTACTCAGACGACGCAATATTAATCTCTCAAAATGAAGATGATTTACAACGTATGTTGCATCAATTTAATATAACTGTCAGAACATTTAAACATGTTAATTTCTCCAAAAAAAAAAAAGATAAAATAGAGATTAAATATCTAGGCAGCATATAATCTAGCTACAGAAAGCTCGAAACAGAAGCATGTGATCAAGTGAATAAAGCAACAGAGCTGCAAGTTGCCTGGATCAAATAATATGGAGAAATCAAAATACCGAGAAAGAAATAAAAGGCAAAAATAACAAAACAGTCTGACACAAAGAGGACAAAAAGGATGTAGAACCAGCAGAGATGTTCATACATAACAAGTCATATCCACATAAAACGAAGACGAAAAACAATATTATTTTTTGTTTAGTTAAAAATATATCGTACCTTGTTCTTGTGATTGTTTCTTGCTACCTCCTTCATCGGCAATATTTCCCTGAGATTTCCTAAGTTCCTCAGCTACGTTATTCAAACTACTTTCTTCCATTTTATCTTCACTATCCTTATTGCTTTTAAATCTACTTGACAACATATCTTTGATAGTATTGTAGGTCTTTGCCATGGTTTTGTTTTTCTGATCTTTCTGGGCTACATCTTTATTTTCTATTTGTACAGCCACGCTTTGTGAGTGGGGATTGTGAGTAATAACGGAAAAGTCTTCGTTCGTAGGTAGGGATCTAGGTAAGGGCTTATTGTTGTCTGCTGGGGCGTGCCAAGCTGTTCTGGGTACAGCGCCTGTAGGGTTGATATTTTGGCCGTTGTAGTAGTCTTGGATTTGGTGATAGTTGGACCGGTATGGAGATCCATTGGTATCGGCAGTTTGTTGAATAGTTTGAATTAAACCAGAGTGTGTCTGAAATAAAATAAAAATCGTGTTAACCAAGTTGTAATTATGTAATTATGTAACATGTATACAGTTATATAAAAATGATTTTGTCGCTAAAATTTTAGAAAACCTTTTAAAACTGCCGTTTTAAATCACCGTAAATCAGGAAATATTTCCGTGAGGCCATAAACTAATAAATATTAATAACCATAAATTTCGAAACCCAGGTTCAAATTTGTCCTCTGTTCTCCTGTTCCTTTTTCATTACCCCACAAATCAGACAATGTACTTATCTCCATTTTTTCTCTCATCTCAACATTATGTTTACCTTGTTTCTTTTATCCAGCCCGAAACTTATTCGCTCCTAGAAGTTTACCCTTTCATTTACCCATCTCTCGAAGTTAAAAATGTGGGCGGGAGCTTCCATTATCCCACAAAAAGTACAGTCTACCAAGGCATATTTGCCTCTTCTATTTGTGAAGATGTCAAAACTACCATGTCCAGCCAAAAACTACGTCAGGAAGTATTCTAGTTTCGTGAACTTACATTTCCACCACAAACTCAGATCGGGAATAGGCTCCTTCATCCATCTTGCCTTTCCGCTATCATTCGCTCAATCTCTCTGCCACTACACTATCGTTCCCTTTCTATCTCATTCTCATCTATATTTCCATCTATCCTCCTCGCTTACACTCTCGCTCGCTCTTTTTACAACAAAACGATCGGTATCACCGCTCCAATAATATACAGAGCCTTTAAGTATACATCTCTTTGTATACTGCGTGACTAAAGAGGTTACTTCTTCGACCACATCTATGGTGGATCTTTTGGCCCTAAAACCATATTAACAGTAACTCAGCGCATGCTTTTCTTCCACCTGTCACTCAAGGCGGCCTTTCACAAGCTGCTCGTATAATTTAGCTACTGAATTAAGAAGTCAAATTAGCCGAAATCGCACATCTTCCTCTATACCTTTACCTTTCGGGATAAGGACAACCTTAGCATCTTTAAACAGTGTTGGAAACTGCTGTTTTTCAAGCAGTTTGTTTAGCAATCTCAGGAAAACCTGCTGGTATCTTGAGGCGAGTCTTACTGTTTCTGGCATGACTCCATCTATGCCAGGTGCCTCTTGGATCTTCATCCGTCCAACAGCCTCGGTGAGTTCCAACTCAGTAAGAGGTTCCGCCTCTACGAAACCAGTGACCCTTTCACGTCTATACTCCACCTGAGAAAAGAGTTCCCGTATTAAACGGAGTTTTTACTCATACCTACTGGTCAATTTAATGTTTCCATTTACTTTTTTGTATGTCTCTTTGTTTTTTATTTATTAAAACCCTTTCTATTGTACTAGTCATCATCTCCTAAATTTCTTTACGACATTGCCTTGGAGATGCCCTTTATCCATATAGTTGCTGGTCTTTATTAAAACCTGTGTATGTATATATATGCATAAGTGTATACAGTGGTGAGTGCTTTATCAACTGGCTTTTTAACGTAAGAGATAGAAAACACAGTTACCTTGTGAAATAAAAAGAGATGAAACTCGTAGAGGTGGGAAATAATCGATAGAAACCTATAATTTACATTACATTGCATTAACACTATCGATAGTCTCACACCTTTAGACGTTAGTTCAGCTAAATCACCTCGGTCATAATTATTATTTGTGACGTCGTATGTGTAACGTATTTCAGTGACATTTTTTTAAATTTGCATAAAGTAAAAAATGATTGACCACAATTAAAAGCAAAAATGTGAATACAATAAATTAATTATTAGTGAATATTTAATCTAAAGTTTTAAATTAATAACCAAAAATAATTTCTATGATTTGAGGAGTTTCATACACTCTTGTCACGGAAATAAACATCAGTCCTTTGTGGATTAGTGGTAAGAATTCGACACTGCGACGCAGACGATTAGAGTTCAAAACCCATATGTGGTTTTCTTTTTTTTTTAATAATTTGAAATTATGCAGTGATCGTTTTGATTTGAATCACTAAACATTTATGTCAGTCGTTACTAGTATTAGAAGTGTTTAAAGTTACACATAAATATCTTTTTGAATTTGAATTATTTTGTATTTCCGTTTTATAACATTGGAATAAAAATAAATTGTAAATAATGAGATTTTGAAAACTTGTTACCTAATATGTATAATATTTTCTATTATTTTTTGATTGAGTAAAACAAAAAGTTTATCCTTGGTGGGAATTGAACCCCAATCTTCTTGTCAACAGACCACGTGTCTAATAATTACACCAACTCCACATACAATTAATGTTTTCGGATAGAACATACCTACCTTTAGTTTAGTCAAATATTTCAGTTGATTTATTTTTATTATTGAATAAACTTAAAGATTTATAATTTAAAATCGCTACTAATTAATGTTTTTTACTTTAATTCTAATTTATTCAATCATTTATTCTTACATCAGAAATTATGAAAATAAAATATTTTCGCAGTCATCCGTATAATTATGACTGAAGTCAAATAGCCACGTCTAAGAACTAGCTTTATCTCATTCTTTCTCACAAAATCCATCTTCTATCCTTTCCGCTATTTTGCCGGATTTTAAAGCGACTTTAAACACTTCTAATATTATAATAACGTCTAAAGGTGTGAGACTATCGACGGTGGTAATGTAATGTAATGTAAATTATAGGTTTCTATCGGTTATTTCCCACCTTTACGAGTTTCATCTCTTTTTATTTCACAAGGTAACTGTGTTTTCTATCTCTTACGTTAAAAAGCCGGGCGATAAAGCACTCACCACTGTATATGTGCGCGTGTGTATATAATATTCTTATATTTAATATTGAAGCAATATTATCTGTCGCATGTGTATATGATGGCATGGCTGAAAGGATCAAGTAATCCAAAACCATTAAAAAAAGTGAACGGAAAACCTATCATTAATTTAGAATATGCTGATGATACGGTACTGTTAGCGAATTATCAAAGATCTACAGATACAACTCTGAATACTAAAAAACTCAATTTATAGTGATCACCAAATCACAACAACAACAAACGAGCTTAATGATCCACCAATCCAAATATTTCGAATCAATAATTAACGACAACAATGACTGCACTAAAGAAATCAAGTCAAAAATTTACGATGAGCAAGACAGCCATTTACCAAAATTTAGCATCCAAAATGGATGCTAAAAAACAGATCGCCGATAGATTGGAGAATATCGAAATATGAGTCTATAGAATAATGCTTAGAATAAGCTGGGTAGGCAGAGTTACAAACAACGTAGTATTAGTATTAGAAAGAATAAGAAAACAAAAAGAAGTCCTAAACACTATCAAAATTGGCATATATAATTGCAATATTTGAGCCATATTATGAGAGATAAACGCTACAAACAGCAGGAGAATATATAGGGAAAATATAAGGATGAAAAAGCCAAGGTAGAAAACTTACAATATAACGAAGTGGTTTAACTGCAGTTCTACAGATCTGTTCAGAGCAGCGGCATCGAAGATTTGAATCAGTTTGATAGTTTTCAAACTTCTGAGAGGAGACCAGCGTAAAGAAGAAAAAGAAGGTGAGATATAATCATCGAGCAAAAAGACAGAAGAGGGAATGTAAAGGTAGTAGGGGCAAAAATATTGTGAGACCGGAAGTGCCATTTTGAAAGGCCACAATAAACAAAGAAAGAGAGTCTCGTTTCTTGTTCAGAAATCAAATTTAGATTGGGTTATGTTATTGTTTGCCCCAACTGTCACATGAAATCTTATTTAAATTGAAGTTTTTTAACAATTGTATCACATTTTAGACTATTATCGGTAATATTTAATTAAAACTATCTCGTCTAAGACACATTGCATTTCCCGATATGTCCGCCATTATTAAGAGGCCACTATTTGTCTTTTTGCTCGATGGATATAATAACCATTTTATTGTTTTTAATCCTGTTTGTTAAATTATTATGTAAATATTGTAACACGTTAAAGCTTATAATTTTAAAATTTTATTTACACTATATTTTTTAGTAAGATTACATTGAACTAATAAGGAGAAGAGATGTATTAAACCGATTGCAAAATATTGAGATTAACAGATATAACGTCTCTTTTATTCTCTTTTTAATAGTGTTGTAGATTATTGTCCGGAAGTTCTACCGTAATGACTGTTTTATTCTCCTCAAGAGTCACTTTGTATTACGTATCTACTTACCATTAATTCAATTATTTAATATTTATATAATTTTATATTATGGCTGCTTATAACTTGAAGCCAATAGTAATAATTTCTCACTTTTTATGTTTCTATGATTCGCTTGAAGTATTAATCTGTAATTTAAATTTTATTTGCGCCATTCAGCCAGGCCTGGCTAGACCGTGTCAATACCCTGCTGGGATGGGTTAACGACCAAGGGAGGAGTCGCATTATTGTTTTTTAGTTTTAATTATTATTTATGTACCTTTATATCGTTATATTCTTCACGAAAATAGTAAAGAGTCCAGACTTTCGAGAAAATAAGTTAACTGAACTCATTGGATCTCCTAAAACTAATGCTATATTAATTGTAGGAGTACCTAAAACTGTTTAAAAACTTATTAGTTGTCAAATATACAGGGTAGTCCTTAAGTAATTGTACAAAAAGAAACCGTAGATTCTACACTTTAAAATATTACGATTTAAACCAAATTGTTTTAATAAAATGTTGTACACTGGAGTACTAATGTGGCTGACACACCCGTAACAGGGTAGGAAGAGTCGGTCTGCTGAATGCTCTATGCGTTAGATTAGGACGGAAACATTCACGTACACTCATACATAAATAAAAAACATATATCAGGCCCGTAATTGAATATAAAGCGAATGTATATGCCATGTTCAGTCTTTACCTTACACAACAACTGCTGGGATTAAAGTAAACTACAAACGACCCAATTACTCCTCCGCCCTCATACTGTACCGACATCAACTATAGTCCAGCCTGAGCAGAAGTTATACGGTTAAAACCATCCAAGGCCAAAAATTCTCAGCCAAAAATATCATCAAAACTACCTTCTCATTCTTTGGCAGTGTATTCATCAGATATTCTAAAAGAAAACAGTTCTTCCTTCCCACTAAATTGCTACACTAAGTTGCTTAGCCAGCAACAAAATCCCTGATGAATGCATGGACATCCTGGAGAAAACTTCACTGTATTAGAGGACAGGGAGGGATCGGTTTTCTGTGGTTTACCGATCCCATTGCACACACTGGTCAAACTCAGTTTGGTTTTAAGAATGGGTTCGGAACAAGAGAAGCACTTTTTTCAATACGTGTGCTAGTTGAAAGATGTAGAGATGTCGATTCTGATATATACTTGTGTTTTATAGACTTTCAGAAGGCGTTTGACCTGGTGAAACATGATAAACTAATAGATATTTTAAGGTCATGTAATATCGACGATAAAGACTTAAGGATCATTTCAAACCTCTACCAAGAACAAAAGGCTAAAATCAGAATAAAAAGCGAAACATCTGAAAAAATTAATATCGAGAAGGGAGTAAGACAGGGATGTGTCCTATCACCTTTGCTGTTTAATGTTTACTCTGAGAAGATATTTGGATGGTATAATTATAAACGGGCAATATATAAATAACCTGCGATATGCTGATGACACTGTCATACTGGCAGATAATGCTGAAGCCCTGCAATGCTTATTGGACCAAGTAACGACAGCCGGTAGAGAATTTGGAATGAAGAATACAAAGAAGACAAAAACGATGTTCATCAGCAAGCACCAAAACAGAAGGGTGAAGGTCAATGTCGACGGAACAGATCTGGAAAGAGTAACAAGAACAACGTACCTTGGAAGTAATCTTGATGAAACTTGGGACCACTCACTAGAGATAAGAATACGCCTGGAAAAGGCACGTATAATGTTTTACAAAATGCAAAAAAGTTCTATTCAACCGCCAGCTGGGCATATTGAGAACTAGGATACTTAAGTGATATGTTTTCTCCACCTTGCTCTAAGGTGTTAAAGAATGGACAATGACAGAAGCAACACAAAAAGAATCCAAGCATTCGAACTCTGGTTTACCGTAAAATGCTCAGAATATCCTACATGAGCCATACGACAAATGCGGAAGTTTTGCGGAGGATAAATAAGGAAAGAGAGCTTATGCTTTTAATAAAACAACGAAAAACACAATATTTTGGTCACATCATAAGAAATCAAAAGTATGAACTGCTCCAACTTATAATCGAAGGCAAAGTCAATAGCAAAAGATGACCAGGAAGAACACGCAACTCTTGGCTTAAAAACCTACGCCAATGGACGAACATGACCTCCATAGAACTATTCAGGGCTGCTACAAATAAGATTAAATGGGCAAATGTAATGGCCATTACGTCCTTAAGGATAAGGCACCGTAAGAAGAAGATTGCACAATTATACCTGTCTGTAGAGAAGTAACAGAAACAGCTTCCCTCACCACGACTCACATTTTTATATTTCATTTTATATGTAAATTCACTCATCCATATCACTAATTAATTAATTTACTAACAATTTCCTAAAACGACCGTTTTAGCTTAAAATATTTCACATCCGACTACCACCAGTGAGATAATACAGCGATCCATAGCACGTCCTGAAGAGGTGAAGACACCTAAAACATACCAAAGGGACAATAGAAACATACCAAAGAAATATAAGTCAAACAGAGACAGAGCAATGCGACAATGACTGAATGAAAAATAGATCACTTGAAAAAGGCACTATGCTAAAACAATTGTAGTAATAATAAATGTTGTAACACGTGTTGAAAGTAAAAGGTTTCAGTGTTTAATGTGTTTTAGTGTTTTTCAGTGTTAGAATAAATAATAATTATTATTTTGAACTTCTTCTTCAAGTGCCCTCTCAGCTACGGAGTTTGGCAATCATGAATGCTATTCATATCTTTGAAGCTGTTGCTTTAAATAATTGGTTAGATGTGCACTGGAACCAATCTCTTAAATTGCGCAGCCAAGATATACGTCGTCTCCCCACGCTTCGTTTGCCCTGAATCTTTCCTTGGATAATTATCTGGAGCAATCGGTACTTTTTCCCTCTCATCACATGACCAAGATATTCCAGCTTTCTTCTCTTGATGGTGATCAACAGCTCCCGTTCTTTGTTCATTCTTCGAATAACTACACTATTTGTTATTTTGTCTGTCCAAGGTATTTTCAAAATTCCTCTATATATCCACATTTCGAATGCCTTTAGTTTATCAATATTGCTCTTGTTTAAAGTCCAAGTCTCTACTCAGTACAGCAGTATCGAAAAGATGTAGCATCTAATCAATCTCATTTTCAGGTTTAGGTTAATGTCATGACTTCCCAGAATGTCCTTCATATTAACAAAAGCAGCTCGAGCCTTTCCAATTCTAGTTTTTATTTCTTCTGTAATGTCATTGTTGTTATTAACACTTGTTCCCAAGTATTTATATTTGTGCACCTTTCGATTTCGTTATTGTGAATGTACAGGTTTGCATTAAATCTTTGTTTTTTTGAAATAATCATGAATTTCGTCTTCTTGACATTCATTGTTAACCCTTTCTCTTCACTAGCTGTGACTACCTTGTTTAAAATGGCTTGCAGGTCTTCTACTGTCTCCGCCATTAAAACCGTATCATCTGCGTATCTAATATTATTAACTGGTTGGCCGTTAACTTTTATCCCAATCTCTTCTTCCTCCAATGCTTTCTTCATAAGTTCTTCCAAATAGAGATTAAATAGCATTGGTGACGGCACACATCCTTGTCTAACTGCTTTTTTAATTTGAATTTCATTTGTTGTGCTATTTTCGATGCGTGCAACTGCCTTCTGATTATAATACAGAGTAGATATTATTCTTATATCCCAAGTGTCTAACTGTTTAACTTTCAAGATCTCTAAAAGTTGGTCATGCTTGACGTTATCAAACGCCTTGTTCTAATCAATGAAACAAGCAAATACATCTTGATTCACATCCAAACGCCTCTGTGTGAAGATGTTAAAGGCAAATAATGCTTCGCGAGTTCCATATCCCTCCCGGAATCCAAACTAAGTTTCTCCGATATCTTCTTCCAATTTTCTGTAAATTCTGTGAATTATTTTGAGGAATATTTTTAAGGTATGGCTCATCAGATTGATCGTGCGATGATCAGTGCACTGCTTAGCATGTGCCTTCCTAGGGAGAGAGACAAAAGTTGATCTTAGCCATTCTTCAGGAATTATACTGTTTTCATAAATCTTGTTAAATAAGTCTACTAAAACATGGATTCGATCTTCGTCTATCAACTTTAGTGTATCTGGTGCTTAAGCTTTGCTATTCTTTGATGACTTCACCGCTTGCATTACTTCTTCTTTGCTTATTTCTGGACCTGTCTCCTCTGGAAAATTATCATAAGGAGGCTGTATTAACATAAGTACTGTCTGCGTCCTGTTTCTATTGTTGATCAATTCTTTAACTTTCTTGTGAAGATAGAACGAATCATATTTGGCTTCCAAGTTTTCAATCTCCTTACATTTGTCTTGTAACCATTGTTTTTTAGCGTCGCGGATTTTTTTTATCTCTATGTTAATTTGCTTATATTGTTCTTCACTTTTGCCTTTCGATAGTCTTCGAGAATTCATCAATAACAAAATTTCGTCACTCATCCATTTTTTCTGTTTCGTTGGTTTTTCTCTCTTCAGAATATTTTTAGCTGGCTCTAGCATGTTCTTTTTAATATTTATGTTAAGACAATATCCATTTTTACGCTACGTAAAAATATTTCTTATAAATCATTTATAAAATTTTAAATAAAAAATAACTACACGATAAAATGTAAACTTTCATTAGAGATGATTATTTTATATTATTTAATCAAATCGATGAATTTAATATAAAAATAAAACGTTAATAAATAAATGGAATAGTGTATTTTAACAGAACAATATTGATGGTTTTATAAACCCCGTCCAACAAACATTGAGCTGAACAATATTAAAATAAAATTAATTATTAAAACATTTTGTATAAATGTGTGACGTATAAAAATATTAATATTGTATTGTGTTATAAAAAATGGAATAAACACTAGAGTTTTGGTTTTACTTTAAACTTTCCCATCTGTATATCTATATATCTGTAGTTTTTTTCCTTTAAATTATATCTTAATAGAAAACAGAAGAGTATGAAGGTTGTGGATTGTACTGTATCCTTTTATAGA